TTTTTTTTTTTTTTTTTTTTTTTTTTTTTTTGAAACATTTCTGTTCGTTACACTGCCAACAATAAATTTATTAACTTCTAGTTTTGCGAGTAGGTAGGTTCATATACTCAAAACAGTTGTTCTGTTGACGATAAATGTGCAAAAATGAAAGTCGGCTCTCTTTGCTTGATTTTTTTTATATTCTGTTTGAAATTCCTACCTTGTCTTTTGTCGCCACCTTTCCATTTGAGAAAAAGAAAGACCAAGTAGATGAACTGGAAGAACTTTGTTTATTTTGCCAGTCATACTTTAATTTTTGTTGAGCGCTTCAATAATTCTTACAAAGAATTAAGAAGCGAAGATGAGAGCATTGTTATATCTTTTAATGAAACAACAAACTTTTATTACCAATCTTTCTTAAAAGTTTGTTTCTGTAGTTTCCAAAGTGAAAGGAAACAAAGCAGGAAGAATGGAAGTTAAGCAAAAATTTTATCAATTAGTTTGATGAAGGAAAGGAGGAGGAAGAGGGAGAGGTGCCACAGTGGCCTTCAAGGGTTGGTTTGCTGGTTCATGGTTCATGAAGGAGACAGGCTGGAGAAGAGTGTGCCCCGCTCGGAAGGGAATGTTGTTGCGAAGGAGTGAAAGTGATAAATTGATTGTTGGAGAGAAGAAGAACTTCTGCAGTTTGTTTTTGAAGCCCATGATCACAGAAATGGGAGGCTCTTGGTGCTTTTTCCCCTCCTCTTCTACAGTCAAAAGAAAGGAACAGTTGTTGTCGTTATTGTTGTTGAACGATGACAATCTTATTGCTTTTTCTTGATATCATTGTTGCTAGATAATATCAGTTCTTTTAGACTTTTCCAAAGTCCGAATCATTGATTTTGGTTTTGAAGGAAAGCCAAGAGATCGACGTTTCTCTTCTGAACGGTATGTATCATTGTTGCTCAGTTAGTTGCATGTTGTTTATTACTCAGTTAGTGTTAAAGCAGACTTGAGACATTTTTGCTGAATAATACTTAGGTGATGATTTTTATTTGCTGCTAAACGGCAGCGGGTGAAATGACTGTTGTGACGTCTCAGTTCTGATACACTTTATTTACATACTATTCAACCTCACGTGGTGCACTTGAGTGTTTTTTTAGGACCACACTATTGCTATAAAGAAAGCCTAGTTAAAGAATTCGTTTTATTGTGTGAAACCATCAACACAACTTGTAGTACGCTTTCAATTTAGCTGTTGACTTTTCAATTATCGCCTTTGAACATCAAAATGTCTCAATGTTCATTTTGATATGCTTAGATCTGTTGCAGAAATATTCCTTCACTGAAGATTTGCTTACTTCCGAAGATTTTTTGCATTCTCATATCTCGTTACGACAATGATTTCACCGATTATCACAAAGGATATGACACTTTTTCCGGTCAAACCACTTCCAGTACGTATCAAGAATGTCCGAGCGCGTGCTCAAACACTTCAGGATCTTAATAACGTGAAACATCATCGCGAAACAAACGCATGTTGCGGCTGTAAGCCTCAAGTCACTCTTTGTGGTTCAAAGATTATCCAGATTGCCTGTCGACATCATTCACACCCGATTTATCCATCTTCAAGCTGTGCAGCCCAACGGACTCCGAGATTAGCTGCAATTATCGAAGGAGAAGAAATGCAGTTGCCGCGGAGAAACGAGAGGCGTCTGGTGCCATTCAAAATAATGCGTTCTGTAGGTACATCAACCGATGACATCGAAGAAATTCTGGGTAATGGTGGATCAACAAACGGCCTGATTACACCTTCAGTTTTTCAAAGTAGACACCAGGGCCGTGCGAAGCGGTTTTTTAGGCGTTTTACTACGAAATTGGGTTGGACTTCCAGTAGAAGTGATGTGATGGAAAAAACTGCGAAATCAACGAAGGTAAGAGCTTCGTCTACTTCTATATAGTAATAATAATGGTAATTTTTTTTCATAACTGTTTCATCTATCCTGCTTCCTATTTACATATTCATCGATCTCCGGTAATCTGTTGTAAATGCAGATTGTCATATTAGACAATAAAAAAATCGTATCAATGATGTGCACATTGTACATGGTGGATAAAACTAATTGCGCATTACAATAACAGCCTTGATCCGAAGTCGATATTTGTATTCCTTTTTTTGTTCTTAAAAAAAGAGATTGTTTCTTTGTTCCTATTAATGTGTTTCATTTTTTATTTTAAAAAAGAAATATTTGCTTGGTCTTATAGATATGCTCTGTTATTGTTGTTGTAGGCCGCGGTAGATCCAAACGAAAATTCTACAGCAACTATTTGTCACAAATTTTTTTTTGACTGTATGACGCCCAAGAGAACCAGTAAAAGCAGTAAATCCTGAACTATGAGCAGCTTTGACAAGATTTTGGAAAATTTTTTCAGATTTCAGCTTTTTGGTCTTTCAACTTAGCTCCTTGATGTGTGTTTGAAGCTGAAATTTGAATTTTTAAATTTTTCTTTATGGATGACTTTACATTGTTTTGAATGTTTACTATTGTTTTTTCTGTATTTTTTAGTGTTTTATGACCATGCTGATATATTTTTTTTTCTATTGTTCGCAAATTGCGTGTTGGTGACCTGATCGGTCACCAACACGCAATTTTTATGCTTTTCACCTTATCAGTATTGTTTTACCATCATATTACGGTCAACCTTTTTTTTTTGACTTGTCTTGACAAATCTTTGCTGTTGTTTGTAATTGTTCTCCCTCGCTTACGGCTGAAAGTTTCAACAAAACAGAGAGGTAGGGGATAAGTTTCTGCTGGTTATGTACATTGCGAAGGTTAGCTACACAGAGTGGAGAAAAGTATTTTGTACTGTTCTGTTTATTCATGACGTCTTTTTTTTTCGTCTTACTGCACTTCTCTTTGTTCATTTGTTTGTCTTATATCAATTCTCTGAATTGTTGTCTTGGTTGTGTAGGATGCAAAAAGGAACAGAAAGTTACAGGAAAGTTTTGGAGGGTTTTTTCAAATAATTTGTTTTCGGAAATTATTTGAGTCTACGAAGTCTGACAACTACTTTTTTTTTCGCAGTTTTTTTCCTGTTTACCAGGAGTCTTTTACGGGCATAAATTTATTTTGCTATATGTGATATTGTACTGCGATAGTCTTTCTGTTTATAGTTGTTGGATGTATATATGATGGTTGCCGTTGTTATTTGTTACAAAATACAGTTTTATCAGTGATCGTTCATTATTTATTTACTTAAAATTAACACTGCATTAGGAGGGCAGAGTTCTTTATTACAACGTAAAGCGCGTAAGTAGCAGCAAACAGTCGAACATTTGGAAGCATTAATATGTTGGAGAAAACAGTGAAAAATTGGGGACTACAACAAGCTGTCAAGAGAAGTGTTAAGCTGAATTATCTTAGATCTTATTTTTAGAAGTTTGACGGAGAAAAGTTTTGGAAACTGGTCTCAGATTTTGCTTGCTCAAGTGAAGGAGTTATTAAATGTATTTGGTAAAGAGATATATGAAGCGTACTGGTGGTTGCCGTGAATTACTACTTGGGGTCACGGGCACGATTTTTGATGATGTTTAGGTTCCGGCTTTCAAGAGTAGTCTGTTTAATGAAATTAAACATAAGTGAAGTAAAAGAAACTTTGGCTTCTGTTTTTGTGGCGTAAGTTCCTCATTCGGAATCAATTTGGAAAGATTTCGATTTTTTGGGAGGTTTTGATTTTTTGAGACGGGGCGATCTAGGGTAAACGACGAGGTGTGTGTTCCAGGCAGAAAAGGAAGGGTGAGGTGATTATGACTGTTAAAAATGTAAAAACAAGTTCCTTACCTGAAACGTTTTCTTTGAGAATAACGTGGAAACAGGCAGAAAGAGTTTGATTTGTAGAGTGTCAAGTTTACTAGCAAGTCTAAATGGATATGAAAGCTGTTTGACAGTTTGACAGGATGTTTGGAAAAACGGTTACCTGTAAGAGGACCCAGTGAGCTTTGATTGGATTTAGCTTATTAGATTGAGGAAGAGCGGTTTACACATCTGTAACATTCTGCAGAAGACTAATTTTTACACAGCGGGGAAATTTCAAAAGGAGTCATCTGTATGAGCCAGGTAAACTTGTGGTTTTTCAATCCTCAGCCAGAGAGGTGGTTTGATGTCAGCTTTTGATGAAAGAAGAATTTTTAAAAGTTTAACGTGAGAAACACGGGGCGAATTCAAATGATTAGCGAAAAATAACTGCAATCGAGATCGTGGTTTCAATTATTAATACCACAGAAAAAGCATTGGTTTTTAACAAAATTGTAGTTTGTACGGTTTATAACGCGGGTCAGGCAACAGTATCTGATGTGTTTACACGATCATTTTAGAGTTTCTTTTTAAAAATTAGTTTTAGCAGAGTCTTCGTTTATATAAATGGCAGAGTCTCCATATTATACTTTCGCAAAATATATGAAGCAGAAGTACTTCGAGAATGAGCAGTTTGAAATGAGTTGGCATAGGTGTTATATCTGAGCAATCTACGTGCCTGCTGCTTGTCATACGTAGCAAAAACTTAAGCAGAGGCAGAATTTCAAGACAAATGCTTACTTGAGGATTTACTATACACTTCTGAGCAGTGGCTTTATTTTTCAATACAACGAAATGTGAGTATGCGTTGAAGGCACTGTCAGAAGTCCTTATTCCTAGTAGATCATCATTAACATGTAAAAGATAGTGGGAATAACGGTCGCTTTTGTTGCCTGCCCATGGTTGAAAGAAAGTGCTTTTGAAAGAATTGTATTTCAAAGAGATGGTTATACGTTGACAAAAGTCGTTGACGCTTTCTTGGTAAACGAAGAGCTAATTATGCTTACCAGTCGATCGTTTTATTAAATGTTTCCTCTGTTTTCTTAAGGATAGGTTGTTTTTTTTTTACTTTCTCCTTAATATTCAGGCTTCAAAGCAGCGAAAAACTGTAAAGAATTGCTGTTGCAGCTGAATAATTATCTGGCATACGTTAAAAAGCAGTTATATACGAGAACTGCATATAAAGAGGCAATTTATTAGTTTCTTTGATTTGCTAAAGACTGATGATTATTGCTTCATTTCTGATTATTTCTTTAATCAGTTTTTTTATCAGTCTTTTTTTTTTTATAGAATTTTTCGGAGAATTTTTACTTTTGAAACGGCTGATTAGCTTGAATATTATGAGAAGTTGATTATAGAATACTTAATTTTGATCAATAATCAAGTAGATTTGGTGTAAGTGGAAGTAGGCTTGAGAGGGGTATTGTGGGCCAAAAGTTATTTTCATATCTACCCTGCATAAAGCAATTTGTCTGAGAAAATATTGTTATTAAATATTTTGCTTTTATAAGTGAGCATCAACAGCGATACTGATGAATGCAGTAGAACAAATTTGGGTGTTAGTCATACTCAGAATTAGTGTATCTTAGTTTTACAGGGTTTATCTTTTCGAGTTTAATTGGTAAATTAAGTGATTTGTCTGTTTATTGTTCATAACGTTTTTTTTTTTCACTTTTTTCGTTACTTTTTATTCTGTGTACGACGTTTAACACCAGTGTGAACAACAGAATTCTGAGGCATTGTCGTAACATTGACGGAACTTTGGCTTCATTGTCGTCTTTAATTTCAGTGCTGCCTCAAAACAATATTCTATTTGTCTCGTCATTTTCTTTTTTTCCTGTCAAATTTTATTGCTTCAACCGCATTTTATAGATTAGAAATCATATAAGTTTTGAAGTTTCACACAAGTAGTTGCAAAAATCAGATGACAAGCTAAAAAAGTAATGTGAAACATTAAACTGCTTTGGAGTACAAACTAATTTTTGCACAGTTTTCAATTCAGAGGTTTTAGAATATTGTAAGTTTAACAAAGTTAGCTAAAAATCCTGTCACTAAGCATTCATTTACGTTTGTTCGTTAGTGGGATGTTGGAATGTTACTTGTACTTGAGAAAATCAAAAAAGTTTGGTTTTTCAAGACATCTCTGTAGGTTGTGAATCATGACAGTGTATTGGTTGACGTTACTCCTGAAGCTTATTTTCAAACAGTTTTATTTTTGTCTTCTATTGCAAACTTGAAGTGAACTTTTCTTATAAAAACCTAACAAAAGTCATTCTTTGCATTTACCGTAGCAGTTGTACATCTATTTTTTTTATGGAACCAGTAAGCATTTCGTATTCTGTGGACCAGGAATAACTTCGTTTTAATGGTTGTCAAGGAACGCTTAAGCAACGTGCTGAACGTTTGTGCCACTGGTAAACAAAAACGGAGAATATGACAGTTTTTTTTTTTGAACCAAGCATAAACTACGCTAAATGTGCTAGTGCTTTTTAATTAAGATAATTCTTGTCGTATGTCTAATTTTATCATAGCAGAGTTGAACAGCCTAAAATAATTGAAGGAAAACTTAATTTGAAAAAAAAAATTAAAAAGCGAAGATTTTTGTTATGGTTTGAGAAGAGCTTATGGTTTGCTAAAGAAAAAAAAAGAGCATTAAAAAGAAAGCGTAGTCTATTTCGCTTGAGACTAGAAGAGTAATGTTTTCGTTTTCTATATGACTAATTTTTTTTAAGTGTTATTTTTAGGTTACAGGTTGAACAGTACGACTACTGTTTTCCTGACTTTATAAATTTTGCTTGTTTGAGTTGTCGCTTCTACTTCTCTTTTTTCTCTTTTTGCCTGAATGACGACAAAGAAAGGAAAAAAAAGAATTTTTTTAAAAAGAATTTTGTGTTTTTTAAGTAGTTGTTTTTTCTCGGCAACACAGTACAGCAGCTATATGACAACGAACAGGACAACTAATTGTTTATGTCTGTAGTAAATGTGATTGAAGAAAACAGAGAACCGGTAGTGTACTAAAAGAAGTGCCTTATTTTTCTTCAGACGTCATTGTTCATCTTTCTTTGTAATTTTATTTGATTAACTGAAAGAGCACCTATTTATCATCAGGCGAACAAAGCTACTATTGTACACATCTGATGACTTCAGGATAACGACAACAGCAGTAACAACAACAATAGCAACAGCAACAACAATCTTCACAAATTTTCCACCTTTTCTTTTCACCATTAATTCTTCAGTGCACT